CGCACATCCCTCGGCTTCACGCACGGCGGCAATCCCCCCTACGCGCACGCCGTCATCGCCTCCTGCCCGGCCGACATCCTCTACGAAGTCGGCAAGTCCGCCCCGAGCGACTGGTGCTACGGGCAGACGCACCAGGGCAACTACACGATCCGCTTCCCCGTCCCCTCCGCGCCCTCCCCGGCCCCGGAGACGGCGAACCTGATCGTCTCGCTGGGCGGCTACTCCACCGGCGCCAGCAGCGTGGTGCTCGTCAACGGGCAGCAGGTGGGCAACCTAACCAGCGGCGCGGTGGGCGCGGACTCGACCTCGGGCCTGCTGAACGACCCCTCCGTGTACCGCAGCGCGACGCTGGGCGGCGAGTGGCGCTTCTTCGAGTTCCCCGTGCCCGCAGCGCTGCTGAAGACGGGGGAGGATAACGAGGTTACGTTCCAGCTGACGAGGAACACGACGTGGAGGGGTTTCATCTGGGATAGCATCGTCCTGGAGTGGTGAATGATGTCTACACGTTAGAAATTTGAGCTGTACATATTGCTTTGTATATACAAACTTGACGTGAACATGAAATACTGATATTCTCGCACTCCAAGGCATAAGCTAAAATTCTTTGCGAAAGCAAATCTCAAACGTGAGATCGATAGTATCAAAACCACTGTTGTAACCGCTTGTGATCGGGCTGAACACAGGGCACGAATCGAAACTCTTAATCGGATAGCGAAAATCATCATGCCATGGCGGCTGTTTACCAGTGTTCAAACTATACGTCTACACACACCATCCTCTTGAACATACATATACAGGGGCAATACCGCGCTTACAATAACACACTCAAAGCACCCAACGCCTCGGCACCCATCGGCACACGATAGAAGGAATGACCACCTTTTTCAACTAAGGGTCAGCAGGCTCATCCGTCTTCGTCTCCGTCTTCTTCTCAGGGTCGTCGCTCCGGGCAGCAGGCTCCCCAGAGGCAGGGGCTTCAGTCGCCGGTGTCGGATCGGCAGCAGGGGCCGTCTCAGGCGCAGGCTCCGGCACAGGTGCAGCTGCGGGCTCAGGAGTAGGCACCTTCGGTGGCTCCTCAGCAGGCTTCTCTGGCTCAACGGGAGGAACCTCAGGCAGAGGCACCGGGTTCTCTACATGCGGCAACTCGGCAGGCTCCGGGTGCGGGGCAGCCGGTGGTTCGGGCAGCGGAGACTTGCTCATCTCGGCCTGGCGGTCTAGCTCCGTCTCCAAACCAGCCAACAAGTCGGGGCCTTCGTCTACCACGGGGACGAGTGGCACTTCCGCGGCGGCAGGCGGGTTGGCCTCGGGTTCCGCTGTCGGGATCTCGGCGGAAGGCTCAGTCGGGGGCTCGACGATTGTCTGTACTGGCGGTTCAATGGGCGCTGGTGGGGCGTCAGCGGGCAGCTGTGTCGGAGCTTCGATGAGAGCCTCGCCGGAGGGGTTGACGGCTGTGTCCACCTGGGGCTCTGTGGCTGTCTCGATGGGAACATCAACTGAAGTATCCATGGGAACATCGGCAGGATTGTCGACGGGGATATCAACAGGGATATCAACAGGGAGCTCTTCCGCAGGCGCTTCGGGCTCAACTGTGGGTTCGACGGGTGCTGGTGCAGGCGCCTCAACTGGAACCTCCGCAGGTGTCTCGACGGGCGGCAGATCCAGTGCTTGAGTGAGTGCATCGCTCGGGACATCCGCCGGCGCCTCGATCGGCGGTAAAGGCTCAATGGGTGCAACAGCAGGCTCAGGTGACTTCAGTGGTGACTTGACGGGAGACTTCACAGGCGACTTGATGGGCTCGGGGTGATGCTCAGGTTCCGTAGGTGCAACAGTCGCAGGGATATCCTCAACCATGGGCTCGCTCGTTTCTTTCTCTTGCACAGGATCTGGGAAGGAAAGCTGCTCAGTAGCAACTGACGGGGCTGGCGCGCTCTCGTCCTTCATCTCCGAGTCCTCCTGGACCAAGGGAGCGGGCTGCTCATCGACAGCCGGAGCTGATGGTGACTTGGCGGCTGGCTGAGCGTCAGTGACCTCGGGAACAGAGACGCTCTCGGGTGCCTGAGAGGCTTCGGGAATTTCAGGAATATCCAGAGCCATCGAATCCTCCTGAGGAGCATCGTTCGACGCAATGGTCTGATCGGCGCTTTCTATCCTTGACCCGGAGCCTTCTGTCTCTGCCGTGGTTGCCAGAGAAAAGGTAGACCTCGTCTCTGCCATTGGTGAGACGATATCGCCGACCTTCTCGGCAGGCGGAATGTACGTCTCATTGACCGTCTCCGGAGCCGTATCCAGGGGTAGCTGCTCAGACGCAGGGGCCGGCGGCTGCTCAGCTGATGCCTCGGGAGCGGGCTCGGGCTGATCGGCCATGTTCACATCCTCCTGCTGAGACTCGACGACTGGCGCAGGAACTGGAACTGGGAATGGCTCTGGGACGGGAGCAGCTTCAGGGACGGCGGGGGCCTCCGGGACTGCGGGAGCTGCAGGAGCCTCGGATGTGATCGCGGCCGTGGCAGCAGAGGGGGCCAAGATGTCCGCAATGGGTGAAATTTGTGGTGACGGCTCGGTGGGAGAGGGCAACACAACGTTCTTGAGAGGACTTCCCCTTGGCGAGGCGTTTGCCAAATGCATGGCGGGAAGGGGTGGCGCGAGGTTGATGGGGTTTGGAGGTTGCCCAGACCGGCTGGCCAAGGGCGACTCGGGTTCGGTCGATACAATCGATGCGTCTACCACTGTCGGTGTCGGAATGGATGGAGATGCGTCCTTCATCTCGTGGTCTTGGCTTTGACTGTCTGTGTTCTCGCCCTCACGCTGCTCCTCCTCGTTGTCGTCGCCATCATCTCCGTCGTCACCATCATCATCACCCTCCTCATCGTCATCATTGTCGGCCATCTCGCTGTCTGGTTTGTTCGAATCTTCGCGCTCCTGCTTAATAACACCCTGGGCACAGTCAGTGGCGGTCCCGCAAATATGAACAAATGTCTACTCACGTTCTCTGGTCCTTCGGATCCCTCCACCTTGGGTACGACTGGAGCACCCTCCACAGGCGGCGCAGCGCTGGGAACGGCCGGTGCACCAGGAACCGGCGCAGGCAGAGGCAGATTCTTCTTCTTGCGCCCACGCCCAGGACCAGGCTTGTTCTTCTTCTTGGGCGGTGGCGGCCGTCTGACGCGCTGGGGCTGCTGCTGCGCCGGATCGAGGGCCGCAGCAGGCACCACCGTCGTCGAGATGATCTCGCCCTCGACCTGCTGCCCATCCTGCAGCGTGATCTCCTGCGTGTACGGGTTGCCCGCGGCATCCATCTTCCTCACGGTAGCCCTAGTAACCGTCGCGCCGACAGGCGTTGCGGCAACCGTCTTGGACGAGATCGTGACCGTGCCCTTCCTGCGCTTCGCGAGATGCGAGACCGCAGTACCCTCCGAGTTACGGTTGATCTGCTTCCACACCTTGATCTGGAAACCCTTGTCGGCGGTCTCGTCCTCCTTCTTCTCGGGCTTCTCAGCCACCGCGTCCGCGTTTTCCTCGTCGTCCTCCGTCGGAGCAGGGCGCTTGTACAGAACACCGGACCGCGCCGCGCGCAGCAGGTCCTGGCTGTGTTGCGGCAGCAGGCCCGCGTCCTTGGGCATGCCCCACGGGAGCTCGACGTCCCAGATGTCGTTCTTTTGCGTTGTCTCGGTCTGTTGGGGCGGCTGGACGTTCACCCACTCCTGGCGCCATTGGCGGACGGGAAGGCCCTCGAAGTCATCGTGTTCGGCGTAGCCGCTGCGGTTCGCGCGTCGAGTCTGCAGGAGATTCCTGTGTTAGACGCAAGGGTGCATGCGGTATTTGGAAAGCAAACTAAGCCATGTAACTTACGCCGGGCGCCATTTTGGACTCTACAGTTTACAACAAAATAACAAAACAAAGATTATGCGACGTTTTTTTTACGGTTTGGCCAAGTTGACACTGTCGCGATGCGCGTAGGACGTCCGGTCGGGTCGTGGTTTTGCGCGAGCTATGTCGAGACACCAGGACTTCGCGATATATGCGTCGACTGCGTATACTCGCGACAGATATTCTCAGGTCTGCGACCTCAATTGAGCGAAGCAATGCGACGCTCGTAATGGTGTTGCTTGGATGGTCGATAGACAAGCTGTACCGCAGCCGTGCCATGCCTGGGATTGGCTCCGCCGGGGGACCCAGCCTCGTCGCGAACCAAAGCGCGCCGGCGTCACGGGGTATATCACGTGCTAGTTTCGGTCAATCAAGGTGAGGCTCGGTGTCGTGGTGGGATACCGACAGCAGGCACCGTGCATCATCGATTTCTATAGCGATCTAGGTGCAACCTCCTTCGCCTCTCCTGAGTCAAAATGGCTCGCAGCCATTTGATGTCGCTCTCTGTCAATGCTCCACAATGTAGCATCCTCCTCACTTCAGTGCAATAAGTCTCACGGAAGACGATATTCCATCACTATCTCTTAAAACTCACCAATGCCCATCATGAAGCTACATCCTTGTCAATCACCAAGCTCTCCATCGCCCATGAAAAGAATCACATCACGAACCACAGACATTCGGGTAAAGAAGCAAAAAGGCAAAAGCTGAAGGCCCAGCACTCATAGAAACTCCATTGCCATGTCTATGCCCAAAAGCCCTTGAAAACCAAAACTCCAAGAGTGGAGCTTTTTTGCTGGTGAATCCCCCGCCGCCGCCACCGCCTCTCCCCCTTTCCCCTCCCGCTCGTAACGTTTCCCCAAGAAGTCAGGTATTCGTCGTGATGAAAATCAGCGGACCCCCCCTCTTTTCAATTGTTGCGGCAAAATGTCGTGTAGTGGTACACACTTTCTCTCTCCCGGGTTGTCTCTCTCTGGTGTCCATGATATAGTACAAGTCTCTCCGATATCTTCTTTTCCTGAGCATTATTATCGGCCATCGCGGCCCGGTGATTTGGAACTCTTAGTCCCATCTGCGATGCAACAAATCAGCAACTGCAAGCAGGCAAAAACGGACGCATCGCAAAACATTACTCACCCCTGATCCTTTTGCCTGACGATATCGCCCTTGTCCCCCTTCTGCTTGCCCGCGGCACCGCCCTCAACCACTAACCGGTCAAACTGGAAGAACTGGCTGACGACCGTTTGCCTCTGCGCAGTCACCTCGTTAGCCAAAAGTGTTCCTTGTCCCGTCTGCAGCCAAAGTATCGCCACCAAGGCACCCAACGGGATAAACCGCCCAAGGATATCTCCCGCAGCCTCAGAGTAAAAAAACCTCACCTTCATCGCCGTGAGCTCATTCAGCCCCTTCTGGATCAGCTCCTGCACCCTCCGCTGGTCCGTCACGTCCTTGTTCTCCCGGAACGCATCCCTCGTCCTGCGCTTCGCGTACTCGCGGAAATTGTACGCCGCAAACTGGTCGCCCGTCCTCAACATCTGTCGGTACTAGAAGACCCCGAAAATCACTCGTCAGCGTCGTGTTCTGTCCATCTGACCCCCAATATCACAAATCGCAGTTGTGCAGCTGGTAGCAAAATTTCATCCCCCCAGCGAAAAAAAGAAAATACGCACCAAAGACCGGACCTGCTGCGGCGCATCGCCCTTCAAAGCTTGTATCGCCGTCGCCATCGTATGCGCTTCGCGTTGCGGGGGTTGTCGAGGGAAAATGACGCTGAAGAGGGAGCTGTCAAAAAAAAGCGTCGTCGCGGCGCACGATTGATAATATTTCGCAGGTGGGAGGCACTTGTCCGGGGGGCGGGTAGTGGGAGCTGCACCTATGATGCAACGCAGTGGTAAACTTCCCCCCCAATTCTCGGCGTTTAGCTTACCCAGTCGGGTCGGGGTGTCTCTCGGCGCCGGCATTTTACTAATCCGCCGGCGAAACGCGGGATCCATGGATGGGAACCTGGAACCTCTGGTTTTTCGTCACCGAGATGTCTACGGCTATTCGGATGAGCGCCCGAAAATTCAGCGATCCGCATTTGGCCATTGACGCCGCCGGGCTTATCTCCGGGCCTCACATTCACTCGGAAAATTCCCTTTGCAATCGAAAAGGCGTTTTTAACCCGTTCATTCAGGCGACTTGGTGTATTCCATTTACCCGCGCCGTGATGATCATCCTGCTTTGCATGACGTCGATGATGCATTTATACTGAAACAATTGCCTCTGTAAATACCTCTATTATGCTTAATTATCTACAATGCTATTCCTTTGTTATACAGGGCCTGCGGCTAACCGGTCCGCGGCCAAAAGGGGGCACCGTGTATGTATTTGTATGCCTTATGTTCTGCAAACCCATCTGTATATGGATGCGATTATGTGATGCGAATGTATCTCTCCAGGCCCTTCAAGGCAGACTCATGAAAAGCTTCTCCATCGCCGGGTAATTAGGTGTGCTGAGATGATAGGTCAGCGATGATGTCTTACAATATGTCGTTGATGCAGGCGCGAAGCTTACCCCATGCCGGTCACAGGATCCCATCCTGGCACGGCAGAGAAACCCTTGGTGCCGCAGCCTGGGTTGTCTCCGTTGGTCACGTCGTTGAGGATCTCGGGATGGGCGTAGAGGGTAGGGTTGATGAAACCGACGGGCTTCTTGTTGGCCTCAATGCGCTTCTCATTAATCATGTTGATGATCGAGCCGACAACTGGCGCGGAAGCTGTGTGCATGTTAGTATGAGAGTGACTAAATAAGTGGCTTCAGATGCTTACCCGACGTGCCAAACGACAACGAAAACTTGCCGTTAACAGCAGTCACGTAGTTGGCGCCATTGGCAGCAATGTCCGGGAAGCCACGCACAACCTTGGAGTTATTGTAGCGATCCCCACCGTAGGGTGGCGCGTTCTTCGCGTAGTACTCCCCGACCATCTTCTTTTGGTAATCGGGAATGGCGAAATAATTGGAGAAGCCGCCGCCGGAGAAGATGGCCTTCTGGCAAGCGCTCTCAGGAGTGTGAACAGTTGAGCCCTCCAAGACCTGGGTAGCGCCGACGGACGTAACCCAGGGGCATCCGCCTGGGAATGAGGGGTTGAAGATGCCGTTAGCACCCTCATTATATGCGCCTGTCTGCGAGTCGATACACTGCTTCCCGTTTCCAGCGACGCCCGAGTCACCAGATGAGTACAAGACCGTCACGCCCTGAAGACCGAGCTTCATGTACTCAGCGCACTGACGCTCAACGTACTTGCGACCGAGGTCGGCCTCGTTGAAGCCGTAACTTGTGGAGATGACGTTCACCATGGGCGCCGAGCCGCAGACCTTGTTGCTGTACTGTCCGTCAATGTTCGGATCCTTGGAGCCGCCTCCTTGGAAGGTGCAGTAGCTGCCGTCGATCGCATCCAGGAAGTTGTTGAAACTTGCGCCTTGGTTGATGTCACCAACCTGGTAAAGAGTAGCCGTTTGAGGGAAGATCATGGCCATGGCAAACTCAAGATCGAGGGCAGATTCTCCGTTGAAGCGGAAGCTCTGGTTCTGAGTCTGGACGACGGCGTTTCCAACCAGGGTGACGATTGGGGGCGTTTTCTCAAGGCGAGGCTCAAATTCCTTGAAGTACATGTCCAGGTCACTCTGGAGGAAGGCTTGCGGGGTGTACTCCACGATTCCGAGCGTGTTGTTGGAGTTCTTCAGCGATCCTGGCGGCGTTGCGTAGAGAGCCCTGAGGCAATCCGGGGTGATCATCATGTCGCATTGCTCGAGACTCATGAGAGCGTTCTGAACGACGGCACCTTGCTTGGGCCCGGCTCCGCTGTCTGGGTTACCCACGATTGAGGGGTTCTTGATGCCATTAATGCCCCGCTTGGTGAGCTCACGCTTCTTCAGCTGTCGTCTCTTGAGCTCCTCAACATGCTCCTCGGTGAGTTCGTGCTTGGTGTTCTTGCGCTGCTGCCCCAGCTTCTGGTCAAAGTGTACTGAGGGGGTGATGATGTCGACGTGATCGACCAAGTGCTCCGGCAGATGGTACTTGTCGCAGGCAACGTGGGTGTGGCCTTGCTCGTGCTTGTAGACGTGGTACTCCGTTTTCAAGAGTCTCTCGACTTCGCCCGCGGTGCCATTGAACTGAACCCAGTTGCGCCCCTTGGAGAGCGCAACGCGACCCCGGTGGATGCCTTCGCTTTCTAGCCATTGCATGACCAAAGCTATCGACTCCTGTCTCGGAGCGAACATCTCGACGATTTCGTCATGAGTCCAGTGCTTGCCGTAATTAGGGGAATCGGGATGCGCAACATCATTCATGAACTCGTTTGCGCGATGAAGGTTTGACTGAGCGAGACCAATCCGGACTGGCAGCCTGGCCATCGTGTGTAACCGGTGGTTCTTGACCCATTCCCGTCGGGCAGGGTGCCTCTCCTCGTGCACGACGTGCCTGTGCGACCGTGTCACTGGGTTGGCGGAGGTCACCGCCGCAAGGACGGTGAGAAGGGTCGCAACAGCACTAAACTTCATCGTGTCTTCCCGCTCGTCTTCGTCGTCGTCACTTTACACACGGGGACAGGATTAGCGAAAAGGTCGAGCGACGAGGCTGGCTTTTTGTTGATATTTAGCAGCTGTCGTCCAGTCATGACGAACCCCCACTGACGCAAGGTACCAACTCCAGGCACGACGAATGCGAAACCGGTTTCAATGGGATCCTGTGGGCTGTTTGTCTGGTGGTAGACATCCAAAACGAGCATTTTGGGTGAACGGCAGCCTGTGCGCTAGGATCCTGTGGCATGGAGGGAACACCTCTTACATGAGCAGTTTCTCCAGCTCCGAGCCCTTGCGTGATAGAACCACTGCGCGGTTCTTACGGCCTGGACTAATGTCAGAAAGCCATGAGGCAGATTGATCAACAAGAGGCCGATAGCCGAAGGTTAAGCTTTAGGGCGAGGTACTTCAAACAATCGTCTCATGTTGGAATGGACCACAATAAAATTCTAGGCGCTTGCCAAAAAAAAAAACAAGAGGACGAGGATGGCGGCCGATTCGTGTTGGTCATGCGAGACGGACGATCCGGCCTTCGACTTTTTTGCTATAGATGGATGCGATTCCGATGTGAATCCCAGAATGACTCGCTGGGGGAGACAGGAGAGTTTGCAAAGTTTGGATAAGGTCAATTGAAGGCTCGAGCCGCCATCTGGAATCCGGACCAGGAAGCTGAAACGCTCTCAGGAATGGGACGAGTTGGCCTCGACGTACGGCTGCATTGTCAGCCTCTGCAGCGTTCGTTGCTCGTTGATAATCTCCCATAACTCGTCCGTTTCTCTCTGAACTTCCGCATCGCCAGCCTCATCGGAAGCTTGCGCAGGGGGCTCTTGAAACGACAACATGGCGGCTTCGAGAACATCATTGGGCAACCCGTGGCCATTGAGCATCTTTTGGAACCTCGTCTCTTGCTGCATCTCAGTGTTCAGTTGAGACGCGAATGTGTATTGACGCTCGGCCTGGCTCGGCTTGATAACTGCAGCAGGTTTTGTGGACCGCGCAGCTTGCAGTAGCGGGGGAAACGCGAGGTTTGTCACAGAGGCATTGAGGTCTGCCAGTTCTGTGGGGTGCCCGTTTTCGGTCAACTGCCATTGCAATATCTTGCCTCTGGTGTGACCCGACAGGACCGTCGTGCCGTCATGGTTTGGCGCCAAGCATGAAGCCGGGCCAGCATCTTCATCCGCGACTCCAATCGGCGAATTCACCTGAACGACAGTGGAGGACGATTCAAGGCTGCGCGGACCAATGAGCGGCTTGTCTCCGAGCAGCTCGACGAGGTACAGCGATCTGTCCTCGGATGAAACGAAGACGGCACGAGCACAGGGATCCATGGAAACGCAGAGCGGAGCCGTGGGGAAGAGCAGGGTGCGAAGAACATCGCCCGTTTGATAGTTCCAGATGATGCACGTCTTGTCCTTGCTGGCTGACACGCAGATGCTGGTTTCCGGGTTGACACTGCGGCTGATGGCGAGCGACGTAATTGCAGCGCGGTGGTTAGACAGCGTGCGGTCCGGCTCGTTTTCGACAGACGCGTTTAGCTCGAGAAGACGGGACAACGTCCAGACGTGGATGTTGGAATCTTCGGAGCCAGTGAGGAGATGGTGAGGCGTGACTGCGAGGCACGACACAGCCTGGACATGGCAGGGTGGGGTGGTCAACTGACGACCGGTGCAAGTCTACTGTTTCGTTAGCCACACACGACACAGCGGAGTTTGGTTTCCTCTCTTCGGAACAAAGACTGGATCTGTTTACTTACTTCCCACAAGATCAGTCTGCCTTCAGCAGTCCCTAACGCCAAGACATCGTCGATCAACGCCAAGCTGCGGATTTTCTCCGGGAAGGTGATGACGGCCTCCTGGATGCCCCGGGCCCGTGAGTAGACATGGACCTGGGACTTTTCATGCTGGGCGGCAAAGACGTGAGCGTCACTGACAGCCAAGCAGTTGGCCGGGGTGTTGCTTTTCTTCAGAGTTGACTTGACAGAATAGCTGGGGCTGAGCGAGTGGGCGTAGATGCCAACATCCTTGGAGACGGCGGTGTTTGCCGCAATAGGCGGACCGCAGATGCAGGAGTAGAATTCCTCTGACAGCATGGTGGGATGGTCTGGTGGTGGCAACGAGGCGCGCTGTCCGATGGTGTAGGGGATTGGTGAATTCCGGCTAGGCGCGTTTCCCACGGATCTCTGTGCTGCGACGCTCGTCCGAGAGCGGCCCTGACTCCGATGTAAGGGGTGAGAGAGTGCGCAACCCGCGGCTTCTCCTCAGCCGCGTCCGAGGCGAGAGGGTCGGATCGCAGCGGCCACGAGGATGACAAAAACGTGGGACCGAATGATCCAGCGCCACGAGAGGCAAAGACAAGAAAGCGAGATAGCCGTGGGGAATGATCAGGGCAAGTGCCTCGAGTCGAGTCTTCTTCGCGACCACGTTGGATGGCTTGCTTTGGATGACTTTTGATCCAGATGGGCCCGGCTGACGGTTGAGCCGAGAGCGGTGCGCGGGTATCTCGCAACGAAAAGAAGGAGAATTTCTTCTTGGCTTAGATGACACGCCGGTGCGCTGGTGGCTTTGAGACAGCAGATGCAAAATCTTGAAAAAGGCTGATGCGTCGAAACGTCGGGTAGGTTGAGTGAGGCTGCTTGACGTTCGAGATCGTGAAAAAATTCGAGTCCACTCTGGAAAAATGTTATCGATAAGTCGCCCCGTCTAAGGTGCCTTAGCGCTCCCGAAGTGGAAACCAGAGCTGGAGGGGGAAGGTGCCCCGCTCCGCAGCGCCAAGTGCCTCCTTCCCAGGCGAGGTGGCTTGCAACGCTCCCGGTCTAGGTACTAAGGTAAGCTGCCTCAGAAGGCCGCTAACAAACGAGCACCGCTAAGAAATATCGCGTGGGACAGCCACCTGTGGACTCCAGCGAATCCAGCCTGTAGAGTGCCTGTAAATGAGCCACTAACTCGCTCCCTACGCAGCCCAAAGCCCTCAATGCGCCGCTCTTCCGCCCTAAGGTAGAAACACTAACACTGCGGCGGTGCGGGTAAGGACGCCAGGCTGCCAGCTCTGTGAGTGGTGCAGTTGAAGCTCTGTCATCTCTCAGAGTCTCACCACCAACCAACTCCTTGCATCGCCAACTTCCAGTGCCCGGTTTTTCAGCAAACAAGGCGCAAAGTTCACGCCGTGCTTGGAAGCGAGACATGTCTCCTCTGCTCCGGCAGTAGCACGCGCCACTAGAACGATCCATCGTCCTCTGATATTCAATATTCTGAGTCAGTCATTCTCCCGTTCATCTCACCACCACCGGCTCGAACCTTGGAGTGTCGTTGGAGTTGAACGTCCGGCCTTGCAACGCCCTCTCAGCCCGTCGACGCCATGTCTCACCCGTCCTGCGCTCCGGGTTCCCGTACCAGCTCACCGCTCCGGCCAGACCTTTCTTTTTCTTCAATGATCGACCGCTATCTTATCTGGTCTGCACGGATTACCTTCGTACAGCAGACTGCGGAGACGTGAAGCTCGCTTCCTCCATCTGACGTGACGACGCTGCATACAAGCGACGAGCTACAACAACGGTCATATCTCGCCTGCAGCTCCCCGACATCACTCACGTCTGCAGCCTCACGCGAGAAGCTTCTCTCGTGCCTCATCTCGCCAGAACTTCAGCTGCTGCCGTCTCGTCTGCACTGCAGCCAGCGCCTTCACTGTGCTCGGTCCTGCATAACTGATTCAACATGCCTGCCGCCTCTACCTTACTCCATACAGAGACAACGCCCCCTTCTGTGGCCTCCGAGACAGGGTCAGATAATATCAGCAAGCCAAAAGTGTCACTCTGCGCCGTTGACAGGCAGATGACGATGAACCCAAACGAGCCACCCAAGCGCCGCCAGCCCCGATGGGCTCCATTGATCCATTCCAAGACGCGTGGTCGCGATCTCAACGGTTCGAGCAGAATCAGCGCCCTCCCCCGGCCGTTGGTTCTGTGGTTCATCAAATCTTGCTGCCCGCCCGGCTTTGCCAGGAACAGCTCCGCTGGCTTACACCCTCCCCGGCCCCCCTCCCCTGGCCTTTATCCATCGTATCTAAGGCAGGCAATCCATGTCTAGTGCCCTGGCCCGCCAGTGGAGGCCACGAATCGACGTCGCATTTTAATCCCATGATGCTCTCTGATGGGCCCTTGCCTGCTCGAGCGAGAGCCGGAGGAGCAGCAGACTCCCGCTGCGCGTTTACAGCATAGTGCATGTCCGCGTACGCATGCGACCTGCAATAGCGGCAGATGGATTGGGTTGCGACGCGATGCGACATCTCTCATCTGCCATCATCAATGCCGCTGCACAACAAAGGCTTTGCGCAGGACAGGAAACCTACAGCACCCGAGACGAGACAAGACACAGAAACGCACGCACAGAGCAAACAACATGCCCCCCTCCCCAATGCCAATGCAGATATGCGGCGTGGGATCCGGATCGACAGTTGGCTCAGGTGGCTGCGGTGGTGCACTGGTGGCTGCTAGGGACCATCACCCTCTCATCACCCTATCACGACCTGCTTTCTGCTGCGCCGCCCCTCAATCTCCTGTTGATCTCGGCAGGGGAGCAAGACCCCAAAGGGGACAACAAGCCAGAGGCTAGAGAGAGAGAGCCGAGAGACAATGACAATCAAGATGATCCCCAATCGCCACTTGACCAGTGCCGAGACGATCAGCTGCCACCTCCCGGCATCTCGCTCGCCATTTGGAACTTTGTGCTCGCCGGCAATCTCCCCAGGTCGGCTCTGGGAACTGAGGCGGGAGGCCGTGGCTGGGTGGGTGCTGGAGAAGGAGAGACAATGGACCGGTTTCCATTTACACGGGCCTGTGTCACCGGCTGTTGCTTGCTCTCTGCATGCATAGCATTCATGAGTTGCACTTGGAACAGACACAGACGGCTGAAGGCATCAGGCTGGCCTGCGCTTGCAAGAGGATGGATGCAAGGTGCAAGATGCGGATGCAGATGTGCTGCAGCAACACAGACGTGGTTGCACTAATATGGAATAGGCGGGATAAATGCCTGTTCATTCAGCCTGCACCAAGGGCCAATGGAACGCTCCATGCTTACCCGGGGGTCCAGCATCTTGATGCGTCTGTTCTCAAGGACCCCCAAAACAGACAGACCCCAGGCTGGATGAGAGAATGACCGACTGCTTCCTCTGGTGTCTTGTCATTTTGACATCGAGGGCTGTTCCAGGCACAAGTGCACGTGGGTGGATAGTGTCAACGGACTTTGCTGCTCAGAGAGGGCAATGGACCCTTTAGACTCTCATCGTACCGCCGTTTAAGCCTCCATCGTACATATCCAACTGGACAGACGGTGGGCAGTGGGCACCAGACCTGTGTCATGGCAGCGGAACCGAACCAAGAAACTTCAACAGATTTTTATGAGCGCCGAGCTTGATTTGATGACGATGGCACAGTCGACCGTACAGCAGACTTAATTGCCAAATGAACACCAGTCATAATTCATTGCTTTTTGGAAGCGAATGGCAGCGAACTGCCGTATGCAGCGCAGATATGCACGCTGAGCCCACTGCCAACGTTGTATTATTGAAGGCTTACCCACGCCCCCGTCATATTGCTTTTTCGGCCTCATCGTCTTCCCTTTTTTGGCGTGGACCGAAGAACAGAGTCGAGATTCGAAATGGGCTCTTCTCTTTTTTTCGCTGGAGACCTGTGGAACCACGGCCACGAGTCCACGGTATCTGTTAAATTGACGGGGTCGTTTTGTTATTTTGCCCGCGCTAAGCCTACTATAGGTAAAAATGGCCGTGCACGCTGAGTCATCAGAAAACGCGTACTAATATCCCCATATATCTCTAGATAACTTCAAAAAGCTATAGAAAAATAAAGAAAAATCGTAGAAATAAAAGCTTAGTGGGCGGGTTAATTCGTTAGGGTTAGGAAGTTAGGTGTTATGGTTAGGGTTAGGCGTTAGGTTATGTTCGGGTTATGGGATCTGATAATAGTTTTTGGGGGATGTTAAGGGCCCCGTCAATTTAACAAAACGACCCCGTCAATTTAATACTATCCGAGTCCACGACTGACTGCGCCAGCTGCTGCTTGCTGCTGCCCCTGACCTGGCTGCCCTATCCCCAGCAGGGCCATTCCCCATCCGCAAGATCCGGAGTCCCGCACCACTGGCTCCCTCGGTGCTGGTGAGGTGAGGCTGCGTTGGCAAAATGCTGGCGCTGAGCTCATCTGCGAACTATGAAAGAGCCACGGACGATCCAGGGCCTGCAGAAGAAAAGACGCGATGAAGCCGGTCCAAGCCCAGGGGACGGATGACAGTGGTCGTGACTATTGCGCTACTGCAGAGCAGAGGACGGGACGATGCAAGGGCAAAGGACCGCGGTCAATAATGTCTTGCAACTAATCCCAGAGCCCAGAGCTCTAGATAACGGGCCCCCCTCTTCACGCACAACGCAAGATGTTGTTGTTGTATGGGATGGATGTATCCATAGATGGATGCTCGACTGGACTGTTCTGGCGGTGTTTTTGTTGTGCGTCTCCTCGAGTGGCACGGCATACGCAGCTTTCCCCTCGGGCAATCTTGAGCAATCTTTCTCAATCTCACCATCTAGTCTTGCCCCCCTCTCCTCTCCTCCATCGCCCCCTCGGAGCTTCGCCTCGAGAGCTTGCCTGCATTTCTCGCCGTCCAGTCCAAGTCTCATCCAGTCCCAACCGCCCTTCTCATCTCCCGAGTCTGCACGAGGAGGGTCTCTCTCCCGGATCCGAACACAGCGTCCCTGTTTTCGGACCCTCTCGCCCAGCGTATCGAAGCTCGATCCCTACAAGCGAGGTCTTCTTCTGCCCTACTGCTCCGTCCTCCTCCATAGCAATCCTACCCACGGACATGTGCAGCTGCCCGGCGTGTCCATCCAGACTGGAGAAGCGACTGGACTCACTGGAGACTCGTTCTCTCCCTCTCTCAGGGAAATACATCCCAGCAGAGACGAACACCCCTCCCCTCGTCCAGCAAGCCTCCAGGACCCTGTCGTCAGCCCTGGGCAGCTTAAAGGCTTCGCAGCTCCCAGTGGCCACCTCGACCTCATGATCCCTCCCCCCCTGGCCAGCAGCAG